ATCGACTTCACTGCAGACCAGGTGGTGAGTATGGCCAGAAATTGGGTCCTGAACATCAAGTTTGGTAAGGTACTTCTTTGCCCTGGTCTCTCAGCTACCATACCAAATTGGGCTTGGGGGTGGATTCTATAGAATAGTCTGATTGGGATGCATGTCATGCAAGGCACCTGATTTATGGGACCTGCCACCACACTGAGGCATATGAGGTGTTTTCCCACATTACCTGGCTGTATCTCCTCAGGACCTGACTTCTGCTCTGACCAAAAAGATCACTCTGAAGACCCCACTGGTTTCCTCCCCCATGGACACAGTCACAGAGGCTGGCATGGCCATAGCAATGGCGGTGAGCATGACGGGGTGTAAGGACAGAAGCAGGGGCCTCACACTCTTCCCCAAAAGCATACAGAGTCATGCCACTTATTAAGTGTATTTTTGAGAGAACGAGTGGGGAAGGGGCAGAGACAGAGGGGTCATAAAATCCAAAGTGGGCTCCCTGCTGACAGCAGAGAGCTCTACACAGTGCTCAAACCTGTCAACCCGCGAGATCATGACCTGAGCTGAAGTCAGATGCTTCACCAGCTGAGCCACCCAGGCGCCCCTCTTTGTCACTTTTTCACAGTCTTCTGTTTATTGTGCAGCTTACAGGTGGTATTGGCTTCATCCACCACAACTGTACACCGGAATTCCAAGCCAACGAAGTTCGGAAAGTGAAGGTCAGAAGGGCAAGGATAGTGGTCAAGAACTCCTGGGAATCGCACTGAGGTGGAGTGGGGTGGGAGTGGGGAATGTATTCTCCTGATCTTTTTCCCCACTTTGGGGTTCAATTCCTGAGAATAGGAGATCCTTTGTCCTTAGGCAACAGAAGAGGACCAGGTGGACAGTACCTACAGCCCACCCATGTTTCCCGTCCCTGAGTTTGAGTTGTGATTTGGTTCTCTGGCACTGCCAGAGGGGGAAGTTTGCACAGACCCTGGGCTTCAGACTGGTAAAGGTGGTTCAGAAGTGTTTTTTTCTCGCCATCTCTTCCAGAAATATGAGCAGGGATTCATCACAGACCCTGTGGTCCTCAGCCCCAAGGATCGAGTGCGGGATGTGTTTGAAGCCAAAGCCCGGCATGGTTTCTGTGGTATCCCAATCACCGATACTGGACGGATGGGAAGCCGCCTGGTGGGCATCATTTCCTCAAGGGACATTGATTTTCTCAAGGAGGAGGAGCATAACCGGCTTTTGGAAGAGGTAGGTGCTATTGACTAAGCAAGGCCAAGCTCTAGTGGCCAAGGCTTAAGACGCTAGAATGGCATCATTTGCCTGAATGGCATCTCGGGGGGCCTCTGCAGTCCAGGAAAGATGAATGCCCAGCCAAGTTACTGATCCCTTCATGGGGTTCCTGGATCTCTTCCCCACCAGAGGCTCTCAAGGTACCCAAATGTTTGCTACCCCCAATGTGCAGGTCATGCTCAAGGATCAGTTTCAACCTCCTCTTCTAATGTTCTTGTCATTGTTCTGGCATGGCTCTTCTTTCTCCACTATGTAACAGGAGGCTCTGTGTACCATGTTCTTTCTACTGAATTTTCATTCCTGCCACTGTATTGCTGCACAGACTGTCGGGTTCACTTGAGGAGGGTAGTTTGGGCACAAATGTGTGATTGTGGTCATCTTTGGAACCTCCCTCTTGTATTAGGCCAGGGTCTGTTGGGAGGTCTGGTCTCTGGCCCTTTCTCACAGACCCTCTCACTGTTAGATCATGACAAAGAGGGAAGACTTGGTGGTAGCTCCTGCAGGCGTCACATTGAAGGAAGCAAATGAAATACTGCAGCGCAGCAAGAAAGGTGAGTGCTAGAGGTGGGAAGGGTTCTGGAACCAAAGACCAAGGTTCTGATTTATGTATTTGCCCTACTTCCAGGAAAGTTACCCATTGTAAATGAAGATGATGAACTGGTAGCCATCATTGCCCGGACAGACCTGAAGAAGAATCGGGATTACCCACTGGCCTCCAAAGATGCCAAGAAGCAGCTGCTATGTGGAGCAGCCATTGGCACTCATGAAGATGACAAGTATCGGCTGGACTTGCTAGCCCAGGCTGGTGTGGACGTAGTGGTTTTGGTGAGCTATTGCACAGGCAGGGTGGGGGGTGGTAGGGGCAGCTGTAATACCAGTCTCACTGGGACTTTCTCCCTGTCCCAGGACTCTTCCCAGGGAAACTCAATCTTCCAGATCAACATGATCAAGTACATCAAAGAGAAATACCCCAGTCTCCAAGTTATTGGAGGCAATGGTGAGGCAAGACTGGGCACTGAAGGATGTGGGGCAAGAGTAGGGGAGCTAAGCTCCCACTTAGACCTTCACACAAGCTTTTCCCTGTTGCAGTGGTCACAGCTGCTCAGGCCAAGAACCTCATTGATGCTGGCGTAGATGCCCTGCGGGTGGGCATGGGCAGTGGCTCCATCTGCATTACCCAGGAAGGTAGGAAATGCTTCACCAGGGCCCTCAGAGATCCTGGCTTCAGCAGGGCCCTTAGTCCCAGATGGCCTGGAGCCAAGCGTTCTTGCGAGAACTATATGGAGTCTTCCAATAGGGGCAGCCCCAGGGCCAGATGGGCCCCTTGGATGGGTGACATGCTGGAAGACGAGCTCATCATTCCTCACCTGCCACTCCCTCCCACTCCCAATCCTCGCCCAGCCTGGCCTCCTTGCTCCTGCTCTGCACCCTCTCTAAACTCTGGTCTGTTTGTTTTATTTAGTGGCTCCCAAGATCCCTCCAGACATAAAGTCCCACAGCCCCAAATGCCCTTCTACTGTCACGGGCTGCTATAGTAAGTCCAGCCCGGCCCACTGGCCCGGCCCAGCTGCCCACTGCCCGGCTGCTTGGTTGACTGTAGCTGTAGCTCCCGGGGTTTGTGGTGCTGATGGGTGGGCAGGGCAAACTGAATGACAGACCATGGTTTTGGGGGCTGCTGGAGAACACAGTTCCCTCCTCTTCCCGGGGTGCTCATAAGGCAGGACCTCCTTCCCCAGGTAGGCCCTAGTCTGCCCACAATGCGTACAGTAGGCACAGCTCATGGACCAGCAAAGCCACTCTTTGTTCCACATGACCACTGCCCTCATCTTGCCAGAGGTGCCAACGACGCAGGAAGGGGTGGGCCTCTGGGTTACTAACTGCACAGTGAACCCCTACCTCCACTTGATACCAGTTGGGTGGGGCTTTTCCCGGCTGCTGACTGCATGTGCCTGAAGCTGCCCTGGGCCATGCACACATGCACGCGCACATGCAGGATTGAGTGGAGGCCGTCACAGCTGTTTGTACTGTTCAAGGCAGATGGGGCAGCAGCCATCCCAGACATGACTCTTTCTTGGCCAAGCTGCAGTCTTGGTGCAGCTGTAGCTGAGAGCTCCTAGGTGCTGAGTTATGGCCACAGGGCCCCTTGTCTATCCCCATTAATTCCATCCACCCATCTATTCCTCTCAATAGTGCTGGCCTGCGGGAGGCCCCAAGCAACAGCAGTGTACAAGGTGTCAGAATATGCACGGCGCTTTGGTGTTCCTGTTATTGCTGATGGAGGAATCCAAAACGTGGGCCACATCGCGAAAGCCCTGGCCCTTGGGGCCTCCACAGGTGAGGCCCAGAACCTAGGGAGTCTGGTGGGATTCCTTCCCTAATGCCACTCAAGAGTCTGCCCCCAGCACTCCTCTCTCTCCATAGTTATGATGGGCTCCCTCCTGGCTGCTACTACTGAGGCCCCTGGCGAGTACTTCTTCTCCGATGGAATCCGGCTAAAGAAATATCGTGGTATGGGTTCTCTTGATGCTATGGACAAGCATCTCAGCAGCCAGAACCGATATTTCAGGTGGGACAGGAAGGTCGGTTATCCTGTGCTGACAGCCTTGTACTGACAGCCTAATCTATGTTTTGACCTTGCCTGTGTTGTTCTGCCTCTTCCTATAGTGAAGCTGACAAAATCAAGGTGGCTCAGGGGGTGTCTGGGGCTGTGCAGGACAAAGGGTCCATCCACAAATTTGTCCCCTACCTGATCGCTGGCATCCAGCACTCCTGCCAAGACATTGGTGCCAAGAGTCTGACCCAAGTCCGGTAAGCTTGGGAGCTGGAACATGGGTAGAGGGGCTGGTTGAGGGCCAGCTACTCACACCTGACATCTGTCCCTCTTCAGAGCCATGATGTATTCTGGAGAACTCAAGTTTGAGAAGAGAACATCTTCAGCTCAGGTGGAAGGTGGTGTCCACAGCCTCCATTCGTAAGTGACCGGCCCTTTTATACCCATCTAAGTTTGAGGCAGAGGTTTCTGCTGTGCCTTCCTCCTGCCCCACCTCACAGCTTGTTACTCTGCTTACAGGTATGAGAAGAGGCTTTTCTGAAAAAGGCATATGGCATACTCCCTTGGTTTTTCAATAAAAGTTTGGGGAAAAAAAAGCGGTGTCTTATCTTTGAGGTCGACAGCTGTGGCTCTGCAGCTGTCACTATCACAGATGCACACAAACACAACACTCCCATTTATGGGGAAAAAGCCTCAGATGCTAAGGTCAGGATACTTCTTGGATCTGGAAGGAAGAACTAGTTCTTGATTCAAAAAGTCCCTCCTGAGGCTGTTCACAAGATGAGTCTGGCCAGCTCTGGCTCATAAGAATGCAGTCTCACATTATGGCTGCTTAGGACAGGTCATGGAACAGTCCATGGGAGCTTTGGACTGGCACCCACAGGGCCTCCTGCTTGGCCACATGGGACTAGGTTGAGATCCACATATGTATTCCTTAACCTGAGTCTCCACAGGACCTTGGGGAGAAAGCACTGAGGTTCCCCTCAAATATGCACGTGAGCAAGTAGTTAAATTTGCAGTTTGGAACAGGTGCCTATATGCTTCCTACCTCTGAAGAGATAAGCAGCCTAGATAAAAAGGTGATCCCTTGTGTTTTTTTTTTTTGCAACCTATCCCCCCCAAAAGCCCAAAGAGCCAAGTAGCTCCTCACCAGCGGTACACTAGAACAAAATGGAAGATGTGGATTAAATTATTAACTTGTTGGCTAGAAAGACAAGTGTTACAATGCCAAAGGGGTGGGGCTAGTGAAAGGGCTGGAAACCCCTGCGCACTGCAAAAGCGCCACTGCCCTCCTGGACAGGTTAGGTCAGTTCCTGGCGGCTCATTCTGCAGGTTGTGCCAAAGTTGTGAGCACAGTCCCTCCAGGTGGAGGGATAAGGGCGGCTCCTGTCACTCGGCCTTCATGACACAGGAAGTTGAAAGTGGCACAGGCATTGGGCTGCAAAGAGAAAGCCTGCATCAGCTTGGCTAGGGATAAGCCCTGGGCCCTGCTCAGCACTCCCAAGTGGCAGGACTTACCGTGTCCTGCACTTCCACGGCGATGCCCCGCTGCCTCATGGCTTGCATCACCTGGGGTTGCAGCCGTTCAGTTCGGTCTCCGGTGCCCACCACAACAATCTCTAGGGAAAGAGCCATGATTAAGCAACGGCGGGTCGGTTGGGAGGCTAGAGCGGGGTGGTTTGCTGGGGCTGGAAGCACCTCAACCGTCCTACCTATTCTCGGCTCCAGCAACCAGAAGAGAGAGAAGCTTTCTTCGGTGATGTCCTGGTGAGTTCCTACCTGTGTTGGGAGGAGGCAAATTACGTACAAGTTTGCGCAGTTTTCCCCACAGAGCCCTTACCTGCTCCACAAAGGGGCAACGGAAAAGCCAAGTTTGTCAGGGACAGAATCAGGGGACAGGGCTGGGACTCTGGCCCTCTACTTCCTCACTGCTCACGTTCCACTGCACCACCGAGTGCGGGAGCAGCGCGCAGGGCCCAAACACACGATTGCCGTTGACCATGAAGCCGCGGTTGCTGTAGCTGTCGATATACATGAATTGCGGGGACTCGCGTTGCAGCAGAGAGATGTGCGTCCGCTGATACAGCTCATCGTCAGCTGGCGTGAGCCGATGCCCTCGCCTTGGGGTCCTGCAGAGGGGTATGCTCAGGTTCTAGGGCGCCGGGTGGGGGGGGGGGTGGAGGCGGGGCCGGGATCGCTGGCCGTGGGGGGCGGGAGAATCGGGGACGCTGGGTCCGGGCTCACCACAGCAGCTCTGCGGGGTTACAGCGCAGGGCGGCTCGAGCTCGGCACAGGCCGCGAAGGGCGAACGAGGCGACCATGGCGGACCCGCGTGGAAGGAGGCCTGAGCTAGGTCAGAGTCGTGGCGAAGTTCTCCGCAGCGCCCTGACAGCGCCCCCCTGTGTCTCGGAGGGCACCGCGCAGGTCGGCTGCCCCAGCGCGGGATTTTGAGGGAGCCGGCCGGTGACAACTGTCCCAGGAGGGCCCGTCCCCTTGCGCGGCTCTGGTGTCTGCACCTGCCGCCCGCCCCGCCCCAGGCCCCCACAGACCGTCCTGGGGGAGCCAGACACCTGGTGGCATGGCCGGCCTCAGAGCGCTGCCTGGGCCCCCGCCGCCGCTTGGTTCCCGGCCCTCAGACATTAACGTAGGGCTCCCGGGGCTTGAGGCGGGGCTTCGGCGCACCTGGCCGAGTCCCGCACACCTGGCCTGGGCGTGGGGCCAGCATCCAAGCCCCTAATCCCAGGCTTTGGGGCGTCGGGTTCCGAGGGCGGAGCGGCCAGCTCAGGTTTCCCCCGCTCTTCTGAGAATCACGCCCCTCCCCAACCGTCACCCGCGCGACCGTTGGCGTCGTCGCCGCGCGTCTCCCGGGGCGTGGCCGCGCGTGGATTGGCTTCTCGGGAGCGCGAGGGGGCGTGGCTGATTGGTTTCGCCTTAAAATGGCTCCAAATCTGCGGACCCACCAAGCGGAAGGGGACGCCGTGGTAGGGTGATTGTAGCTGTTCGGGTGGGACCCATCGGGCCGAACGGGACCAGATATTGAACTAGACAGCTGCTGGAGCATCGCCCTGTCGTCGCTCACTCTGCTCGCGGCCCAAGAATTCCCCGACTCCCCCGTCTTGAGCCGAATCAGAGGGCCTACTGGCGCGAGAGTCGCTGGCGCCCGCGCGGGTTTCGGGCATCTTCGCGCCCCCACCGTGTCGTGGCCTCAAGGGAATGTTGACGCGTCTGCTACCCACGGGGCCGGGAGGGAGGTTCGGCACAGCGGAGGACGGTCGCAATGGCTTCCCGGGGGTCCTATCGCCGCCATTGGGTCCCTAGCGCTTCGGGCGCTGGCAGAGTCACGGGACAAAGGGCTCGGGGTGCGGGGGTGTCCCCGACGCGGGCGCGCGGGTTTACTTCCTCTCCGGCCCCACGGTTGAGCTTCCCTCTAGGCTGATCCCGAAGCCCTCCCCGCCACTGTCACCGCACCGGTGGCCTGGCTTCATGGGACCAACAGGAATAATCCTACCCTGCGGATCTAATCCGGATCTGGACCGGTCCCAGGGGAGACCCCCACCAACCTTCCGATTGTTTGGGGGCCCAGGTGAGAGCCTCGTTCCCACTACACTCTGATTTACCGCCCACTCGTAGGTCCGTCTCCTGGTACTAGGAATGGGGGGAGGCCTGATCTGGCCCCAAGACAAGGGACCTCCCCCACACTCCGGGGTCATTCCCACCCGCCACGGCTGGACAGCGGGCAACGGAATCCCAAAAGCAGCTGTTGTCTCCAGAGCATTCCAGCTGCGCTTGGATTTCGTTCCCTGCTCTCCTGCCAGAGCAGCGTCCTGGCCTAGGTGGGGTGGGCCAGCCTCTGACCCCTAGACATACTTACTGGGTCGCTTTGGTCTCCGCCCCTGTCTCAGGTGCTCCCTCAGCCTGGAAGTGGTGGGCGTAGACGTCGGAGAGCCAGGATTGTGGTCATCTCTGGAACCTGGAGTAAGATTGACAAGGGAGGGCGTTCCCAGGGCCTCTGGACAGGGCTGCGATCGCGGTGAGTCCCACAGGGCCACCGCAGCTCGCTAAAGATAGCCCTTCACTTCCTGGGGAAAACCCACCCCAACCGTCTTCGTGTACCGAGAGTAGCTGAAGTCCCCCAGCTCGGCCTCCAGTCCCTAACCCTGTTTTAGCAGCTGTCCCAGGGTCATGCGCCTGCGGAATGGAAAGCGCTTTGGAATGACACGATCACTCCCGTTGAGTGGGCACCCAAGAAGCCATCGGGAATGTCGTGTCCGCCCAGTGCTCTTTCTGTGATCCCAGCAGGGCCTTGCAGCCCTGGCCCAGGAAGGAGTCTTGCCAAACTTTTGCTGCCCCTTTCTAGGGTTCTCTCCTTTCTGAGCCCCAGGTATTCTCACTGCTCCAGAGCAGAAATCATAGGTTTTCCAGCACTGGGTGCTGTATTAGGTTCAATCTCCATTAAAAAAAGGAAAAAAAAAAATAGAAGAAAAGGGGATTTAAGGTACAGTGAAGTGAAAATATTCAGGAGCCCTTGGGACAGAAAAAAGCTTTCTCTCTCTAGTGGAGTGGGATGCTCCAACTGGGAGCAATCTTTTAGCTGGGGCTTCTCATGGTCACATTGTTTGGCCCAGAATGGCTCTTTGCCTAAACCAGGAAGCCGGAGGATCCCTGCGAAAGTACACAAGGTTAAAAGAAAAGCATTATACGCTGGCAATTCTGGAAACTATCGTGATGGATCTAATTCCTCAAAACTCAAAGTAATTCTACCAGAGTAAGCATTTATCAGATGTAAAGATGACCCAAATCGCAGAGGAGTACATGCTTGTAAATAACCTGAAACTGCAGAACACGAATTCTTTTTAAAATGAGTTTTTAGGTGGTCGTGAAATGTTGGCTGGCTTTAATGTTATCTGCCCTAGTCCACTAAATTTACTTGGAACTTTTGACGTCTGATCACGTATCAAAGGTGGGGAATGAAAAATCACAAATACAGAGGTAAAACTTCAACGGGAGAAATACTCTGATCTGGGCTCCACCCAGTAACGAGGATCCCGGTTGCTAATACAGGTGGCGACAGAACTCTAGGTCTAAGATGGACCCCGAGATTTCGGACCCGAGGCCGGACAGGGCAAGACGGGCCACGCAGAGGGAGAGCTGGAGCCGAAGGTCGAAAGCGGCTGCCACGGTTCCCTCTGGCGCACCTGTCAGCTCTGGGACTGCCACCGGATACGCGCCCTGGCCTGTCGACCCTCCCGGAAGTTCGGCCTCCTGGCGTTTTGCTTCCGGTTTCGCTGGCTCCTTCCGGTCGCCATGGCGACGGGGCGCCTAGGGGTCGGAGAGACGCTAGGGGCCCTCAACACGGCCCTGGGGCCTGGCGACCCCGTGTGGTTCAAGGAGACGCGCGCCCGCCACCTGCGTGCCCGAGACTTCCTGGCGCCACGGCCCGCATTACAAGCGCGCTTCGGAGACGGACAGGTGGGCGCGACCCGGGTGAGGACATGCGGCCACGGGCAGCGCCGCAGCCCGCTCATCGCCCTTCCTCTCGCAGGTGCCCGAGCGTGTGGTCCTTGCAGTCGCCGGCCTGCAGGGTCCCGGCGTGGCCCCGGTGCTGCGCTGCGCGCCAACCCCCGCGGGTCTGGCGCTCCAGCTGCAGCGGCCCGCCGTCTTCGAGCGCGTGCTCGGCGCCGTAGCCTCCTATGTCGCGCCCGCCGCGCCCGCCGCGCCGGGCCCGCGCGTCGTCCTTCACTGCCCGGCGCTGCGCAGTGCCCCGGGCGCGCTCCGCCTGAGCCAGCTGCGCGCCGTGCTCGTGGCCGATCATTTGGCGCGAGCTCTGCGCGCTCACGGGTGAGCGCGGTGCGGGGCCGGGTGGGGGTGGTGTGTGGGTGTGGGGAGGATGCTGGGCGGGGAGCATCTGCGGGTGGGAAGTAGGGAGAGCTGCGGCGGGTGAAAGAGCTGAGGCGGCCGCCTTCACTTTGCAGGGAGAGTGTGCGCCTGGTGCCCGCCGTCCGAGACCCGCACATGCCCACCTTCCTGCAGCAGCTGCACGTGGACTGGCCCGCTGCCTCGGAGAGAGCCGCCACTGAAGCCCTGAGGAATCGCGCGCTTGCAGAGCTTAGCCCTGCCCGGGACCGGGGAGCCCTGCCCCCCGGCGTCCTAGGCACAGTGTGCCTAAAGGAGCTGGTGCAAGAACGGGGACGTGCGGCTGGCTACGACCCCAACCTGGACAAGTGTCTGGGTAGGAGCTGGAGCCTCGCAGGGCTGGAGGGAGGGTGGGGACTCTGCTCCTGGCTAGCCTCAACGCACCTGTGATCTCTGCAGTGACTGAGGATCTGCTCTCAGTGCTGGCCGAGCTGCAGGAGGCTTCGCGCTGCTGGCCTGGGGACAGCCCTCCGCCCCTGGTTAGTGACTGATCCGACCCTGTAGGCTGAGACTGGCTAGCTGAATGTCCTCTTTCCATTCGGTGAGTGTCCTTCCTACACACTGTAGGCTCCGGCCCCAGATGCTAACGCGGACAGCTGCATAGTTGTGCACGTAGTGAGCTGTGAGGAAGAGTTCCAGCAGCAAAAGGTGGACCTGCTTTGGCGGAAGCTGGATGACCAGGCTCCTCTCACACAGGTATGTTTAGTGGCTTTCTCCCTACATCACCAACCTGAGGGCCCTTGAAAACCCTAAAGGGTCCTGTTAGCCCGTGAGTCCATACGTGACACCTGACCATGGTGGGGAGGTTAGGCTTGGTGGGTGGGCACTTGCCGCAGGTTGTGAGCATCCTGAGAGAAGGTGGGGTCCAGAGGCACATCCCAGAGAATACTGATGAAACTGTCCTGACAGTGGGCTTGAAAGGGGACACAGGGCCTAGCAGTAAAAGGCTGGGGGAGTCCAGGTACCAGATTTAGGTTCCTCTAAGGATACAGTGCTGGAGGGGCTTGCCACCTGGCTGAGTGCCTGTTCTCTTCCTGACAGAAGCACCTGGTTTGTGGCCCAGTGAAAGTGGCTGGTGCACCAGGCACCCTCACTGCCCCTGAGTACTACAAGTGAGTGAGGCTGGAAGGAAGGCTGAGTCAGGGTAGTTGGAGGTGGGTAGGGGTGGGAGGGAACTCACCACCCCACCTGCCCTGGGGGGATGCCCGGTGGGCCCTCTGCTCACTCTTCTCCCAGCACAGGCTCCGGCATGCCCAGGTATGCAAGGCGTCAGCGGTGAAGCACGGCAGGGACCTAGCACAAGGTGCGCCCCGGGAGCCCCTCGCTGTGCTCTGCGGGAGGGGCGGCTCATCTACTTCCCTGCCTGTGGAGACCAACTGACTTCACTCCCTCAGACCCAGCCTGGACAGAGGTCTTCAGCATTCTCTCCGTGGCCACCATCAAGTTCGAGATGCTCAGCACAGCCCCACAGAGTCAGGTGAGCTGGGGAGGCCTACAGGATCGGGGCTTAGACAGCTCGTGTGGTGGCTGCAGCTGTGCCCCCATTCCTCAGCTTCTGCTGGCCCTGGCCGACGGCAGCGTTTCCACAAAGGGCACCAAGAGTGGCACCTTCGTCATGTATAACTGTGCCCGTCTTGCCACACTGTTTGAGGGGTACAAACACAGCATGGAACGAGGTCTGTACCCCACTTTTCCACCTGTGAGCAGTCTCGATTTCTCACTGCTACAGGATGAGGTGAGTGCCCTCCCCGGGTAGTTGGGCACCCGCAGGAGGTTGGGACCTCACATCCTAGCGCCCTTCTTCCTCCCAGGGTGAGTGGCTCCTACTCTTCAATGGCATCCTCCCCTTCCCAGACCTGCTGAGCCAGACAGCAGCCCTGGCATGTACAGCCCCAGGGCTGCACGCGACTACTCGCACAGAGACGGTGAGGCAGACGAGATCGGGACAGACACCACACACTCAATGCTTTATTTGGGGTTGGGCACAAGATCAGAAAGATCAGCCAGTGACTCAGTCTCTGTCTCTAGATGTGCAAGTTCCTGGTGCAGCTCAGCATGGATTTCAGCTCCTACTATAACCGCATACACATCCTAGGAGTAAGTGCACAGCAAAAGGGGGTGGAGGGGTTGCAGGGGTGCAAAGGAAGCAAAGGACGAAACCAGGAGGCCCCTTCTTTCCTCCAGGAGCCTCGACCACACCTGTTTGGTCAAATGTTTGCCCGTCTCCAGCTTCTGCAGGCCGTGCGTGAAGTGCTTCACACTGGCCTAGCCACGCTGGGCCTCCCTCCACTGAACCATATCTAAGGCCACAGAGACCCCCACTACCTAGGAATGTTTACAAAGTCATTACCTGGAAAAAAAAATACACAGATTTTGTTAGGGACCTGCAGCCAAAAATAAATAACTTCTGTTACAAAGCCTGGTCCCGTTATACACAGTAGGGCGTATTTTTGGTCTGCCCAGACAGCACCCTACTCACCTCCAGCTCCTGCTCTGACTTCAGGAACCCACGGCTGCCGCCTCCTCCCCTCAAGGCACACTGGGGATGGGCACAGACAGTTGCTCCTGTTCCACACTGTCTGCGAGCAGGCCACATGCCCAGCATGCCGGCCACCACGGGACACTTCAATCATACCAGTTGTAAACCTCAAGCCCCTGGCCCCCAAGAGCACAGCGGTGGCCAAACTCAGGGCTCACAGGCCAGCAGTCCATGTCAGCCACATCTGGGACATGGTACACGGTACTGTTCATGAAGGTGGGTTCACCATGCCCCAGACGCCAGAAGGTCAGCCGTTGGTCAATGGAGGCCGAGACCATAAGGCTTGGACTTAGGATCTTGAGGCCTGTCACATGGGCAGCATGTGCACAGGGGACAGAGTATTCCTCTAGCACATGCAACTGGGGCACCAACTCAGCACCCCCCACAGCCTCTTCCAGCTCTGGTGCCTCGACAGCCAGCACAAAGACATGGAGGGAGCCATCCTCACTGCCACTGGCCACAAGGTGGCCCTCACGTGTGGGCAAGGTGTGCAGGCTGTTGACGCCACAGCTATGAGCCTGGAGGGTCAGGCAGGGAGTGCCCAGTCCTGGAGAAAGAAGACGGTCATCAGGGGCCTGCCACATGGGTGAAGGCAAAGTGGGAGGTAGTGGGGGACAGCCATGGTTGTACACTAGCTACTCACGGTAGGGAAGTCCAGGGTCTGTTGGAGGCTCCAGGGCAGTGGAACCGTGGTCCAGCACGGTAGTGAGATCCCAGAAGGCCAGATTGCCATCAGTGGCTGCACTGCACAGGAACAACCTCCTGGGAGCCAGGGGGAAGGCAGTCGGGTCAGTGAGGGGGATGGAAAGCAACAGGAGCCCCCACCTGGCCCATGCAGGATCCTCATGCAGCCTCTCTCACCGCCGCTGGTGGGGTGCCTCATGTGTAAAGGAGTGGACCTTAAGGACACACCGCTTGTGGTGGAAGGTTTCAGCCAGGAGCTGCAGCCGCCGCCCTGAGTCCTGCAAAAGAAAGAGCCTGGGGGGCGGAGGGTGGCCCAGCTCAGAACCCATTCTGGAAACCTTCCAGCCTTTGTCTCTTGGCCTGAGGCCCCCCCAGTTCTCACCTCACTGCTCCATCACTGCAAGCTGCAGCCACAAGGGGCCCAAGGCCAGGCTTGTCAAACTCACACATAGCTAGGGACATATACCTGCAGAGACAACACACTGGGGTCAGTCAGGGCAAGCCTGGGAGCAGCTGTAAGGGGCTTGCCCTGCATGACACCACCCTATGCTCCCACCTAGCAGTGCACATCACCTGGTCTCTGGATCCACCTTGATCATCCGGTGCCGATTGCGCTGCCGGTCCCAGTACTCATCTAGCCGGTGCGACGAAAGGTGCATGACGTGGCAGGCGAGGCGGCTTGGGGTGCTGGGGTCTGGGGTGACCATGATGCTGAAGCAATGCATCTCAGCCCGGCCCCCCGCAGAGACCACATGAGCGGTCAGGCCTGGCCGAGGATCCTGAGGGCCACCTGGGGCACCAATGCCCCACACAGCCAGCGCACGCACCGAGGATATGTGATTACAAACCGCTGTAAGTGCGTGAGCCGAGCCAGTGGCTGTGGGGAGTGCCAGGACACAGACAGTGGTGTCCTCGCTGCATGTGATGACAATGTCAATCAGGCCAGGCCCCTCGCTGCCGGGCTCCAAGTGGTCAGGCTGCATGAAGCTGGGCATTTCAAATTCAGGTCCCAGAGTGATGGTGCCCACACGCTTTACACAAGTGATCTCACGGCCATGCAGGCTCTCCCGGAGAATCACGTGTGGCCTGGTACAGCCACCCAGAGCCCGGTACAGCATGACATCCCCATCCTTGAGGTAGGCAAAGGCCATAGCCGCCTCGGTATCAGAGAAGGCCCAGGAGCGGTGCCCTCCACCACAGTTGACGATGTGCAGCTTTTCATGGGACCGGGGACTCCACACCACAAACTCATTGGCATGGAAACCCAGGATGACCATACTCCCGTCAGCCATCATCCGGAGCCCAGCCACCCAGTTCATGCCTCGACAGGACTTCTGCCTCAGGACTGGCTGGAGTTGGCCACCTCGCACAAAGAGCTGGTAATAGGCGCCATCACGCCCTGTGGTATACACGTAGCCGCCATGGCAGGTGACCGAGGTCACACCCTGCTTCCCATGCAGAGAAGGGAGGGTGGACACAGGGCCCCACTCAGTTTCATCCCCACCACTGCCACTACCTGCTTCAAGTGCTCCAGTGATAGCTCCGGCCTTGCCCCCAATCCCAAGATCCTTGAGCAGAGCTGGTCTGGAGGGGAACAGCAACACAGAGCCCCGGCGGTCCCCACATACCAGGAAGTCACCAGGGGGTAAGAAGGCACTGCATGTGTGCCATCTCTGCTTGCTTGGAGGCAGCAGGTACCGGCAACGTTCCTTTACAAAGATGGCTTTGCCGGAAGGCGCAGCTGAGATTTCCAGGCACGCCACCACGCCACCAGGGCCCGATGCCAGCAACAGGAGCTCCTCATAGCCACGCAGGGCCCAGCTCAGACTATGCACTTTCCCATGGAACAGGGTCAGGTCCACGGCTGCAGTTGGAGTGTTGATGGGAACAACCTTGACACGACCCTCCCCATTGGCCATGGCACACAGTCCGAAGCCCTCAGGACCAGGGGCTGCCTCCAGGAGGCAGTAGGACTGGAAGCGCTTATCCTCCAGCAGCTGCTCCCAGCACTTGACCTCAAAGTCATAGAGATACAGGACCCCTGTATCAGTCACTGTCAGTAGTCGCCATGAGCCAGCCAGCGTCACAGCCTTGAGGGTGCCTGGTCTGCTACGGGACTTGAAGCAGAGAGCTGAGACCCCCGAACCCGGGTACCCACGCCCTACAAGGTGCCACAGCCGGATGCCTGAGTCATCGCCCCCAGTGACCACCCAGGCTTGCCTCTCATGGGCAGCTAGAGCCCGGATGCCACGACCCTGGTGGCCCCGAAAGGCCTGGAGGATCTCACCTTCGTGGCTCCATACCAAGCAGACACAGTCCTCTCCAGCACTGATAAGGTAATTCTCTAGGAGCTTGACCTGCCATACACGGGCGCTGTGCCCAAAGCAGTGCCCAATATTCTGTACCCGACCCCCAGGCACCCGCAGGTCACCCACCTTCCAAATGCGGACACTTCGGTCTTCTGAAGCTGTGGCCAACAAGCCCTTACTTTCCAGGTACGACATGCTGAAGATGACACCCACATGCCCACTGACCCGTCGGTCAGGGGCCACAGGCTTATTATCTATTAAAGCAGCTGCTGGGTACCAGACAAGGAGCTGATTGGAAACAGCACCCGCCACTATGGTCAGCTCCTTCCAGGTGTCTCCAATCAGACAGGCTGAGGAGAGGGTACACCTGTCTGTGCAGGGCACCTCCTGCAGCATGCACCCTACCACAGGGTCGTATAGCACTACTGAGTTATGGCCCAGGGCTAGGGCCATGTTCCCCTCAAGCCAACGTGCATCCCAGATCCAGTCAGACATGTTCCACAGGCCAGAGCGCCAGAGCTCCCGAAAGCGGCCTTGTCCCCAGCTAACTTTCACAACTCGAAGTCCCTTGCTCCCAAACACAGCCACCATAGCCTCCGAGTCAACGTCTCCATTTGGTTCTGGTCGTACCCGGAACCCATGGATAAGATAGTGGCCAAGCAGGTTCTGCACGCGCTTCATCATCCGCAGATGGCCACCAAAATCGAGGTTGTACACCAGGACATCCGGGCCCTCACCTAGACAGAGGCAGAGAGCCACATCAGAACCTCAACTCTGATAAGTTATGAAGAGATGAGGGCAGGGAAAACTCTGGCATGTAGCCTACAAATGCATTAGAACACACAATCCTGCAGGATTGAACCCTGGAAACTCCCTGGCCTCAGCTTAAGCTGGACTTTCAGTGCTGGCATTCAGATGCCTACCAGTCATTTCCAGATACTCAGTTCAACCTGACTTCCTCAAACTTTTCATACATCAGTCTTTCTCCCCAAATCCTCAGCCTCATCTGCTTCTACACGCCCTCTTCCCACCTTGGCCCCACAGCAGAACAACCCCTGGATTTCCAGAAGCTTCTTCCTTAAAGCTCAGATGTGATCACGTTCAACACTGATGGGAAGAACCACTAGGAAAGGCAGCCCCCACTTTGACAGCCAAGGTTCCCATGACCCTCAGCCACCTCCTGACTGCCCTGCAAGCACCTCCCACTCTACTAGCTCACTTTCAAGTTCACTCAACCATTACCACCACCCTCTACTCAGCCCCAGCCCCAAAGCAGGAAGCTCACCACTTACTCCTCTAAACTTCCAATATCTTCTCATGTTCCGTGTCCTCATTTTCTAAAAATTTTGCAAATCCTCCCCACTGCTGTGACTTTGGCCCAGGATATCACCTCTTAATCTGAGATGACACTAACAGTCCCTCATGCTATTCTTAGCTTGTAATCTCAATCTTTCAACACTCAGTAGACATTCACTGAGTATTCATTATTAACCAGACAAGAAACTAACTACATGCTGGAGTAGTGAGTTAAGACCAGCACAGACCCAGACTCCTGCCCATCAGGCAGACAATAAACAGTATCACCAAGTAAACTGCATTGTTGTAACTCTGGTAAGTTCCAGGAAAGAACTATACAGGTTACTTTAAGAATATAAAGGAGGGAAATCTACTCCAGAGGATTTTGCCTTCAGAAGGCATTTGGCAAACATCTGGAGACAGTCTGGTTGTCACAACTAGGAGCTATGCTAACTGGCATCTAGAGGTAGAAGCCAGGGATGCTCCTAAAAGTCCTGCAAAGCAGACAGCCCCACACACAAAAAAGGATCTGGGCCAAAATGTCAAAAGTGCCAAGGTTGAGAAACCCTGGTCTCGTTTAAAGACTGGGTGAGGGTCACCTGGGTGGCTCAGTCAGTTGACTATCTAACTTCGGCTCAGGTCATGATCTCACAGTTCGTGAGTTCAAGCCCCACGCTGTGCTCTGTGCTGACAGCTCAGAGCCTGGAGCCTGCTTCAGATCCTGTGTCTCCTCTCTCTGCCCCTCCCCTGCGCGCTCTCTCTCTCCCTCCTTCAAAAATAAAAAATTTTTAAATTAATTTAAAAAATAAACAGACTGGGTGTCAGGAGAGACGACCTTGAGAAATTAACATATAGACTGAGAGGAATCAATAAGCAGTGGTAACCAGAGGAAGAGCAGGCATGTGGGAGATGGATGAACCTTTTTTGGCAGATAGAACAGCAAATCGGATGGTCCTGAGGTGAGCAAGGTTGTGTGGTTGGAGTAAGAAACACAGAGCTCAAGGATGGGCGGGGAGAATGCTCCTGAGGGGGTCTAGGAGACAAAGTCGCATGGCCTCAAATGATGGCAATAAACAGACCGAGGCCACATGTATGAAGTCAAAATGAACCAGACTGGCTTGGGGACTGAAATAGATGCTCAGGCTTGGGCACCTGATTGGCTACTATTCCCTCTGCTGAGCTCATTCATATTCATATTCATATTTCAGTATGAAGCCACCTATGTACTTGGGCCTGGAACTGATAAGCAAAGAGGGCCGGAAATTCAGGTGATAGGTACACATGGATAGAATCTGAGAATTGTAGCAAGTTAAAAGTCATTCTGGAAGTCATAGGAGTAGGGGAATTCACTTGAAGGGTTTTCTAACCTGCATTTCCCAGGTCATTTCCCTACTTAAAACACTTCATGGGGCCTCTCTCCACCACCACTATAAAATCAGATCTAGGCCTAAAACAGTCTGGCCTCTGCTCCTTACTCCAGCACTTCTCCCACCCCACACCTGCTCAGCCTCACAGGTATTCCCTCTTTCCCCCAAAGTAACAAATTCTCAGCCTCAAAGCCTTTTAGCATGTTTACCCTCTGTCTGGAACTCACTGCTTCCCTTCTCCTAGTTCATTCTTGTGGTTCTTTGGGTTTCTGCCTACCTATCCCTTCCTGCAGGAGCCTTAGGGCTCTAACCCATGGTAGGAACCTTGGACTCCCGGAGGCCCCACCCCACACCAGATCACAACTGGGTCATACCTCCCCACACACATACCCACTCCCTTAGGATAGGAAGCAGCTCACTCATGGTTTGACAGCCAGTGCCCTGCCTCAAGGACCCTTAAAAAACTCAGCAGCACCACTATCAGTCACTAGTGTCTACCAGTCGGGCCTCAATGCTCCCCAGGGGTCTGCTGCCTCAGGTCCGGGGGCTTTGATGGCCGATACTTCTCGACCTGACCTTCCCCCAAGAGGCATCAAAATCGTAATTTCTGGACGCGACCATCTCAGAAGGGGCCTCAGCGTCTGCCTCCCCAAGCACTGGCTCATTCAAAAAGGTCTCATCTCTAGTTTCCCGCCACTCAATCCTTATCCTCCCCACTTTCCAAGGAAAATACTCACGTGGGCCCGGGAGGCCACACCCCCGCTCCCGGGCCCCACCCCCCCGCCCACACCACCCCCAGGACCAGCCCACCTTGGGGGGAGCTCACCCCCAACCTCCCCCTCTCCGCCCCAGGCACCTCTCTCCCTCCATGCCCTGCCTCCGAAGCCATTGCGTTTCCCCGCACTTTCCCGCAGCCCCACTGCTCTTTCCACGTCAGCTGCCGATTAAGAAGGGACTCGGAAGCCACATCGGTTTTTTTGTCTTCAGGGCTCCTCCGGCCGGTCTCCTGCCCGCCATCTCCTGGGCTCCCGCCCACCTCGATCGGGTTTCATCCCGCCGCCCGTCCTCCTCCTTGGGGGCATCCCTTTGTCCTCACGGTCCCGCCCCACGCGAGCGCACGGTTTCTTCTCCACTAGCATGCGCCTCAACCCAAACCTCACCCGCCAACAGCCGATCCCCCACGCACTCCAGACCCGTGACCGGGAGGAGTATGAGCTCCGAGGTTGCCCGCGGCCAAACGTAGTCCTCGTGAGCCTCCATGTCGGTCCTCGAGCTGCTGCGGCTCCCCTGGCCAAGAAGGGAGCTGAGCTATCGCGAGACAACCTTCCTCGCGCGCAGCAGATCCGATCTACGGCGCCCTTAGCAACAGGTAGCGGAGCCCAGGGTCGCCCGCTGCCGATGTCCAATCAAGACCCTTCGCCTCATGAAATCCAGCCCGTCATTGGCGAGGCCGCTCTTGCCCCTCCCCCTGGTGTGACGCTCGCGGAACGCTGCGGCGAGCTCGTAATGGTCCAATCTACCTCCTCCTCCGCCGACCCGACCGGCTGCTTCTGGGGCCCAGCGGCTCAAAGCCGTGTGGTTTTATTTTAGGGGGTAGCTTGGGTCTGTACACAATAAATAACATGAATGTAGGAACTGTGCCCTAATCGCGGCTGGAGGCAGGAATGGGGCAAAACATCAGCCAGGCTTTTGGCCTGCATCTGGACAGGGGAAAGGCGGGTCCCTGACCTCAGGCTGCGGACAGCCTGTGGCTGGGGGCTGGGGCCAACACTCCCCTCAGAGTTCCACACGTGCGTCGCGGTAGGCCCGATCCAGGGCCCACTCCGGCTGCGAGTCAGTGCCACCTTCGCGGGCCAGGCGCGCCATCTCCTGCTGGAACAGGGCCTGCCGCGCCCGGCTGGGGTCCACATTGATCCAGTTGTTGGCGATCCACTTAGTGCCACGTGTGACTAGACAGCCCCCGTGCAGCGAGTAGTCATCCACGTCGCCCACCCAACCTAGGAGAGGTGGATGGGTGTGAGCAAGGAAGGCGACCGAAGGGTCTCTAGGCTGAGCTTACCTGAGCTTGACTTTGTACAGGACAAGGGCATGGCGAGGGTGGGCCTAGCTGTGCACATCTTAGGTGACAAAGTCTGGCCCCGGGGACTCAGCATCTCTCTCCAGCCAATGCCTTGACAACACCACTAGTCTTCTGAAACCAGCTTTCTTGCTGCCAGGCTTGTCCACAGCCTGGGTTGGTGACAGACCTGTGTCCCCGGCCCCAGTGAGCTGGAAGGCTGGAGCATCAGGGAATCAATCATGGAGGTCGAGATAACCTAGGAGGCTGCATAGGTGCAGGCCACTGAAGTCACTGAGGATGATCTTTGGGAGGCACTTGGGGCAGAAAACCATTTGTAAGGGTACTACTAGAAAAGTCCCACCAGGGTGGCAGTCTGGGCTGGATAAAGGGAAGTTTCTTTCAAGGCACACTTGGCCTGGCCACAGGCCCTCACCTTGCCCATCAGGCAGGTAGTTGTACCAGAAGACTGCTGTGCCCTGCCGGGGCTTGACCCGCAGGTTCCCCTTGTCACAATGCCTCCGAGTGTCACGGAGATCAACGTCATCCTGAATCAGACTCTGTGGACAGCAGGATGGTAAGGTTTTCAAACTTGCCCCCACTCCCACAAGCCAAGGCCAGGCAGCCAAAAGTGGCCAGAGGGAAATCAGTCAGATGTGCCCAGGGGATCACTTGGGCCCCTCATCCCAGGTCTGGAAGGGTATATACTATGATTGCCCAAGAACCTGCCATCCCACCAGAGTAACAGCCTGGTTGGCCCTTACCATTTCATCGTAGGTTCTGTTGTCTGCTACGGGGAAGACAGTCTCGCCCCCACCGGTGACGTTGTTCAAATAAAACAGCACTGTCATGTAGCTGTAAGGCAGGGGGCCCGTTGAGCAGGTCCCCAGCTGTGGGCACTCCCAGGAGCTTACCTGTGGGCAGGATAAGCTGCCCAGGTTCCCAAGGGCCAGAGGGGCAGGCTGGGATCAGTGACAACACTGCAGGTCAGTGCCAAGATGTCCCTAGCCTGTTACTCCTCCCACAAACCGTCTCTTTCTGTGTGTCTCAATGTTTTGTGAGGCCAAGATCACAGGTGCACTTAGCGAAATTACGTGGCTGGCTGGGAAAGGTCGGCTAGCAGAAGCAGCATGACCATGCAGAAGGGCTGGTAGGGAGTAGAAGGGGCTGGCCCAGAGCAGCCACATGAAGAGAAGAGACCTGCCTCCCTGCCTTAGCAGGGAAGGACAGAGCTTCAAAGGGAGAAGCTGACGCCTCCAGCAATGGAGGCAGAATCAAGCCCCACGGATGGGGGTTAAAAAAAAAAAAAGCTGAAGACCCAGCCTTGCCCCTTATCTCAGAGTTCTGGGGGAAAGTTTCAGTGTCTGTGCATACCTTAGTCTGGCCACTGAGACAAGATGGCCACCCCTTTCTTGCCACTTGATAAACAAACTAGGGTAAGAGATGGGGTATCCCCAACCAGGATGCCCCCATGCTCTCCTGGCCCTGGGGACATGCCCATAGGGCAGGACTGTTAATGTTACGGGAATGCCTGGTCTGGGAGTTGGAGGCCACCCCAGGAAGGAGGTACTTGCCGGCAGGAGGTCTCGAAGGGTACAGACTCATTGGCTACCAACTTGGTATGGGAGCAGATGGTCTCTGGGTACACAGGCCCGCTGTCCACATGGGCATGGTAGTGGCCTCCCTCGCCATACCGTACAACCTGCAGCGGCTCGCTGAGCTCCACGATCTCAGGTGACAGGCGGGTGAGGCGTAGCACCCTGGTAGGCAGTAGGAATTTGGCTGGGCAGTCTCATGCAAGGCAGCACCCTGAAGGAGCTGGACCCCCGGCCCACCACAAGCTCTGCCCCTGCCCACCTCCCTGGAAGCCCCTGAGGCCACCCCAGACTGGCCCTGTAAGAGCAGGAAGGGGTTACTCATGAGCTCTTCTCCCTGGATGCCAGAGACCTCACTAGGTGAGAAAGATGAGATTTCCACTAATTGAGGGGGAGGGGCCCACTCCCTCCAGGAAGGAGGTTCCTTATCTAAAACCCCTGGTTGCTCAGGGGCAGGGGGTCGTGTGGACGGTGATAAGATGTCATTTTTCTAATTAGCAAAAAACAAATACTCCAATCTATTTCTAATCCCACATGTCTATTGTTTGCCCACAATTAGGGTTAATTTGCCTTTGTTAATTGCCTGTCTTTTTAATGGGTCCTAATCCTGGTCTAAAGAATAGAACTTAATCCTGAGTTGGCTAATTACATCAGTCCTCTTGACCAAGGACTTCTGTGAGGGCCCCACACGGCTTTCTCCTGCTCGGTGCTCACCTCTGGCGGATGGCACGCATGACGTGATGGGCACCTTCACCCTGGTAGAGCCATGTGTGGTGGCTGTTCCGCACCAGCTCACTGGATGCTGCCTTGTGGCTCCTCATGTACTTGTGGAAGTCCCGAAGGTCCATGTCGGCGAATTCCTGCAGGCTCAGCACTCCTGCACAGGGCACCCACCATCAATGCCCCCCCGCCCAAGCCCATGTGAGGGAGGCCACAGTGGCAGGCTTTACCATCCTACCTACCCCTGGCCTCAGGCACTGAGGGACCCATGTGTACCTGTCCTCCAACCTGGACTATTGGGTAAGATGAACCTTCTGTCACATCAGGCCCTACAGGAAGACCTAGGGAAATTCATTTCCTCAGTTTAAACCCTGATTTGGTCCCCCAAAGGAAGAAGCCTAACCCCCACTAGATTGGCCAGAGCAGGGTGGCCAAAGGAAGCTTGAACCATATGACCAGGACCTTAGGCCAAGCACTGCCCTTGGATGGCCTCCAGCGTGGCTCTAAAGCACATGGTGGCTACCCTCTGGTTCTGTAGAGGGTGAAGATAGAGAGCAGTCAGTGATGGGTTCTGTCCAGGCCTACCATGCTGTAGAGTTTAAACTGGGGCTGGTCCCCAGGAGTTCCCTTATGACCTCAGGTCTCATCCTGAGTGGAAGATATCTGGCCAGTCCTGCCTGCTGAGTTACGAGAGTCTACCTCAACAACGAAAGCCATGCCACTCTCCCAAAGAACACTCTTTCCCTGTTCCTGCCCAACCCACAAAGCAGGAGATCCACCCTTTTGAGGTCCTGGAAGAGTAGCTGATGTCTGCTCCATGTAATCCTGGCTAACCTAAGGGAGAAACCTTCTACTGTTTGGCCTGATATCCCTGAGGGTAAGGAATACTCAAGGCCTATGGGCCTGTTACCAGCTCTGTACATAGGGACAGTAGCAGCATGATGCCCCTCCAGCCACAGGTCTTGGCCATATCCTTCACTCTGGGTTCACCAGCCACAGGGCCATTCTTCCAAGTCCTGTTTCACTGTTGTATATTCCCCATTCTGTCCAGAACTGAGGCATGTGAATGATGACTACACCTCAGAAATATCCTGGAGGTTATTACCAAACGGGGGTGGGGCACTTGCATGACAGCTCCCCTACCCAAACCACCCCCAGCAGTTAGCATGAGTCTAGGCAGGCAAGAGGAAAGCAAGCAAGATCTTAGTTAGACCAGAGAGGGTGGCTTCTGGGGAAGACCTCGTGCCTGGCTGGGGAGCAGAAGATAGAGCAGGGTGACCAGCCGAGCTCAAGCTGGTCTCACTGTCCTGCTTCTGCTGTGCCCACTCTGCCCTCTGCCAGCCAGCAAGCCTCCTTCTGTACCCTAGTCTCTGTTGAGGTCAAAAAGACCTCCAAGAACTGCTCTCTAGACTATCACCAAGGGAGTGGGATGACCCAGCCTACTGTCCAGGAGTGAGGGCAAGCCTGAATCCTCACCTCCTTATTTCTGGCTACTCTAGAAACTGGGTACAGTGGCCACCTGGCTGTGGGGCCAGGAGACTCACAAGAGACAGAACTGTGGCGAGGTATGGGCTCACCATCACCATCAGGGTCAGCCTTGATCGCAGAGTACATCTCCTGAATATTCTCTGGAGTCATCCACCGTCCATTTCCTAGGCGAGTCTGGGCCAGGACCTAAGGCACAAGATGGTCCCTCAGTGGAGTGGCCTCAATGATGGAGAGCCCCCAGAGCATAGACAGTCACCCAGTTCTTGCTTGTAAGGGTTAATGGTTGAAGTGATGGGGTATGGGTGAGGACACAGGACAGAGCCTGAGGTCCATGAGCTGAAAAGATGGTAGGCAGAAAGGCCCACAGGCATCTGGGGAGGAGGCCAGGAAGATAGTTAAGAGGCCTGCAGGCTATAGGCATTCCTGGCTCTGTTGAGACTGTGGCCTCCATTGGGAGCACCATCAG